AGAAATCTGTCTGACGGGAAGGGACCACGCTGAGATCTACTGAAGTGGATACACTTCTCAATCAGACCATTTTGGTCCCTGTCTGTCTGGAGCAGAATTCCATGAACCGTTTCATGAGAAAAATACCCACTTTCCAGTAGCCTCATTACTGCTGCTGTGGTACTCACTCTATCAGTGACAACAGTCCTTCTCAACTCAAACAGAAAGATGTATCATCAGCAACTAGAGCTTTACCAGTCAGCCTGCTTTTTTTTCTTCACGAATATAATTAAACTGGGTGGTAGTAGCACACACCTTTAATCCCAGTGCTGGAGAGGCAGAGGCAGGTGGATCTCTGAGTTTGAGGTCAGCCTAACTAGAGTGAGTTCCAGGATAGCCAGGGCCCAGGGCTACACAGAGAAACCCTGTCTTGAAAAACCAAAAAAAATAAATAAATAAATAAATAAAATATTATTTTATGTGTATGGGTATTTTATCTACATGTATGTCTACTTGTGTGCTTGGTACCCACAAAGGCCAGAAGAGGGCATCAGATCCCCTGAAACTAGAGTTATAAATGGATGGTGGTGAGACATCCTGTGGATGCCTGACTGGAACTCGGGTCCTCTGGAAGAGCAGCTAGTGCTTTTATCCGCTGAGACATCTCTCCAGCCTAGGTATCCTCTCTTCAATAGATTTTTAGGGATCAGACTTCAGAAGGCTCAACTTATGCACGACTGTGATGACAAAGCCAGAATCATCAGGGGACAACTGAGAACTTTCTAGTTCTCTGGGGCAGGCACAGTAACCCTACTAGCACGCTGAGTTTATTAATACCACGCACAGGACAATTCATTTCCTAACACAGAGGATTGCCACAGAAAACCCAGAAAAGACCTAATTGGACTGACTTTCCACAGTTCATTAATTCGAGAGAAAAGGTGGCCCAAACACAAGTTGTGAGCAGTCCTTTCCTTCACTCAGGTAATTTATCTCAGAAAAACCTGCCGTTTGGTGCTATGTCTTTTTTTTAAATATTTATTTATTATGTATACAATATTCTATCTGTGTGTCAGGCCAGAAGAGGGCACCGTAATGTCTGGTGCTATGTCTTAAGCCCAAGAGATAAGGTTTGCCTAGGAATCACTTCTGTCTAGGCTTGGTTTTTCAGGCTTAAAATCCTGGTTACTTGGGAAGCTGTGACAGGAGGGTTAACAGGCCCTACCTAGGTTCAACCCAGCACCATCCCATCAAAAGAAAGCACTTCTGGGGCATTTTAATATATACTGATTACCATAAAGCATACTGGCAAAAAAAAACCCAGCCATACAAAGGACTTGTCTCACAGAACCTTTTTTTTGTTTTCTTTTCAGACAGGGTCTTTCTATATAGCCCAGGCAGGCTTGGAATTCTCAGTACTCTAGCCTCATCCTTTAAAATGCTGGGATTACAGGCAAGCAAACACCTACCCAATATCTCATAGAACTTTCAGTGAAGATAGCAGCACTGAAATTATGATCCATAGCATTCATAAAATTCCAATTCCATTCTCACACACTCTGTACATAAGGGACACATGCTATCTAAGTCATGTAGTTTCAGCCAGTTCAAAGGGGAAACAGGAGAAAATACAGCTCTACCTAACCTCACCCCCATACAAATAAGCAAACACAGGAAAACTATTGGAAACACACTCAGGAATCAAAACCTCAACATTAACTGCTTAACCTCACAACTCTGGCTGATTTAGTACTTCAATTTTATTGGAGAATGTAGTTTAAAAAAACAGAAAAGTGGGGAAATCCTCACTTATGAAATGAAAGCACCCAGGGAATTCTATTTAAAAGATGTTTTCCTCCTCTTTCACTAATACTTAGAATGTTTTGTGACTTAGAGAAGAACTCAGATAAGTCGATGGTACATTCACTCAGTACTGACACCTTCAAGGGAGAACTGAAGATGCGAAACAAATCCTACTTCATTCACTACCATTTTTAAATCTCTGATTACCAGTTCTCATTCATGATCTCAGACAGGGGAAACAGTCAATGACATGCGTAGCCTGAGTCTCACTGTCCCTCCCGCTTTCTCCTTACAGCTAATGCACAAACTGCAGTTAAAACTTAACAAGATTTACTCTTAAAGACTCAGAGTTCAGCTTTTAAGAGTTTAAAAGCCCAACCTTAGGCAAAAAGATAGCACATTTTTTTCCATGTCTCAAAACTTTTCTTAAATTAAAGGTTTACTTAAGAGCCAGTAAGATCAAGAGGTAAAGGTACTTGCTGCCCCATATGGTAACTTGAAATCCTGAGTCCAGTCCCTAGGAACAACAGCAGTGGAGAGCACTGAATCTTGAAGGCTATCCCCTTACTTTCACCTGGCATTCCCCCCCCCCAATATATATATGATATTTGAGACAGGGCTTCTTTGTGCAACAGCCTTAGTTGTCCTGGAACCAGGCAAGTCTTGAAGAGATCCACCTGCCTCTGCCTCCAAAGCACTGGGATTAAAGGTGTGCACCACCACATCCTGGCAATAAATGTAATTTATAAAAAAAACTAAAAGTAATGTATGTATGTGTATGAGTGAAGGTATACATGTCCAAATGCATACTCCCAAGTTTGGAAAGGTTAGAGGGCACTGCGTGTCCCCCTCCATTATTCTCTGCCTATTCCTTTGAGAATTCTGGGTGTTTTCTCAGTTAAGCTATGACCTGGACCAACCTGGCTTCCAGCAAGGCTAGAAGCCAGCTAAGTATCAGTAATCCCGAGTCTGCCACCACCCCTAAACTGGAGCTAATGGCATTTGCAGGACCCCCAATTTGTCGTGTGGATGCTGGGATCTGAACTCTGTTCCTCATAATTGTCAAGCAAATGCTCCTAAGGTGCTTCAGATTCGCCCTAGAGGTAATAATTAAAATATTAGCCCAAACTTAAAAAAAAAATACAGCTAGATATGAGGGTGCACAGCTGTAATCCCAGCATTCGGGAAACTGAGGCAGGACGATGGGCATAGGTTGGAAATCACCCTGGGCGACATAACAAGTACTAAGTCAAACCAAACAGGGATACACAGCAAGACTGTCTCAAAAAAAAGCAAAAAGCACAGAAAAAGAGAGAAGAAATTGAAAACACAGTCCTAGTCATGCATTAGATAAGTACAACAAAAACCATAATCAACACAGACTCAGGTTCAAATCCCTCCTGTGCTCAAGAACAGCAAGGGAGGGATAAGCGATGATGTGTACTTTTGAGACTGAAAATGGTTGTGAGTTCAAGGCCAAGCAGGGCTACAGAATGAGGCCAACTTAACCCACCCCAAATAAAAAGGAATAGCAAGAGAAACTGGATCACAGATATTTTCTCCAGGTGGATTACATTTTAGAGGAAGTAAAGGCTAAAAACAGAACCCACGGGCCCTTACTGTTGGCATTACTCACTTCATAATAAAAATTTAAAGATCAGTAGCAAAGCTTCCTCCAGGATAATAATCTTTGTCCCTGGAACATTACAAGCCAAGATGGGGGTGCCCTCCTAGGCAATAGTGTCTTGGAATTAGTAATGGGAATGTCTCACGTAACTTCTGACCACAGTCTTAATTTGCCGAGTATCAGTCATCTGTCTAATAAAACCTGCAATTAGTACAAATGCAGCAGGCATTATTCCACAAACTAAGCGAGGGAATGTGGATGGAACTGTGGAGACCTTAAACACTTTTTTAAACAAGGGATTTAAAAATAGACAACACCAGTTATAAAGGGCAGCACAAAAATAAAAAAAAAACAAAAAACAAAACAAAACAAAAAAACCCAAACCAAAAGAAAATAACAGGACCCCCTTTCCTCCCAATCTAAGTGGGAACAAACAGAACAGCCCCTCAGTCCAGAAGCTAGCCTCAGTCAACTGTTGCTGAACAGAACAAGAGGCCACCTGGGTTCCAAGTACAGATGTGGGGTTTTTGTGCAGGGCAGAAAGGTGGTCTGGGGGCAGAAGATAGTGAAAACTATCTTTTTTGCCAGATCGTTCCACGATGAGAAGAATCAAGCACCCTCACCCGGCGATCAACCCCCCCTCCCCCACCCCCATTCAGCTGAGGTGAGAGAATGGATTGCTTTCCAGCTCTCAAAACTGCCTTTCTGGAGCCACCAAATACAATCTTGCCCCAGCAGCAAAGAATTTTGTGGAGAAGGGCTCGTTGATCCAGAGCAGAGAAGAGAAATCGGCGCCCAAGGGCAATTTTAATTGTCTAACTCGGCCCGATTTCCTAAGAGGCAGCAGAGCAGGGAGGGAGGAGCAAAGAGGGAGGAGGGAGGCAGCTCTGGAGTGGCAACAGGGGGCAAGCTGCAGAGAAAGGGATCAAGCCGGCGAGATCCCAGCCCTGGCTCTCGAGGAGCTGCTGCAGAAAGGGCTCAAAGGCTACCCGCACCGTTCTCCCGGAGACGTTTGCAAATCATATATGTAGCCAAAATGGCGCTGAGAATAAAAATATAATTTAAAGGCAGGTCGCCATATTGTAAACAGAGAGGCAAAGAAGTGGACTCGAGAGACATCCTCCATGATTTCCTGCACCGGCGCAGGCACCCGCTCGCTTGGGTCTGAACCTTGGCGAACTGGGTGGCCGAGAGCTCCGCGCACCAACCCCAAGGAGAGCTCAGGCGCAGGCAGGAGCCCAGAGGGCGGCGGGAGCGCGCGGCCGCCAAGCGGCACTGGACCTGGAGCTCCTCCCCTTCCTCCCCCGCCGCCGCCGCCGGCCGCACTCGGCCCGAACAGTCCCAGCTCACAATCTACTTCCAATCTCAGTTGGGGCTCACCTCACTCCTCCCAACCCCCATCCCGGGGTCACGCCGCCGCTCTTCCCCTCAAGTCGGCCGGATCCCGGCAAAAGCCGAGATCGCAGAGGCGCTCGCCCCAGCGGCTGCAGGCAGCTAGCGGCTGCAAGCGCCCGTTATATCTCCAGGCCTGGTGAAGGAATGTACCGAGTACGGTCCGCCAAGGTGCTCCAAAGGGGTCCCCAGGCCTTACCAGCACTGGAGGTGGAAGGCGGCAGGGCAGTGGTCGCAGCACAAGAGATCCCCACCTTCCTTGCAGCTATCGCAGCTGTCGTGGTTGGTGGCCCTGCCGCTTCTCCGGGACTCTTTCTCCGGCTTCCGACTCCGTTTTTCTGTCTCGTCCGTCTTGGGGGGAGCCAGCAGAGCTTGGATTTGCTGCACACACATACAAACGGCGTGTGTGCACATTCGGAGCTCTCGGGCGTCCCGTAGTCCCCGAGGCGCGGCTTCTCCGTCACCCACCCCTCTTCCCCCTTTTGTCCTTCTTCCTCCCATCCAGGCTGCTTCCAGAACCTCTCGGTCCCCGGAATCAGGGGAAGCCCACCCTAACTGCGCTCCTGCAGCACAACAAGGAGAAAAGCTCCTTCCAAATGAGGAGGACCAGGGTAGGGGGATGGGGAGAGGGTGCGCGGTTCCCTTCTCGCCACTTCCTTGTATGGACAGTGGGGGACTCCAAAGCCCGGCTCCGGAGGCCCGAAGCTTGGTACCCGGACGTGCAGGGGGAAGCACAAAGGGGCCGACAAGAAGGGGGTGGGGAGGCCTGCCGGTGCAATGAAATGGAGTGGGCTGAAGCCTCAGGAGAGCGAATCGAGGGCGGCGGGTAGGTGAAACTGCTGCAAACGTCCTCGGAAGCTGCGCTCAGTCCCCCAAATTGCAAAGATGGGAGGGAGAGACTGGGTGAGGAAGAACCCCCCCTTCCCCGGCCCTCTGGCGCTTCGAGCTTAGGGCCGGCTTTGTGGGGCGGAGGTTCCCTCCCGGCACTGGGGGAAGGGGATGAGGGCCAGTCTTACCTCCATCAGCCCCCCCGACGTGTCCAAGTCGTACACGATCGTCTTGGTCTCCATTTTCTCCCACATTCATCCACCTCCCGGGCTGGGCGCTCTCTGCTCCGGCCCCCCCAGCCCCGGGGGGAGGGGGGAGGGGGGGGAAGGGGGCACTTCTGACCCCCGGCCCCCTTCTCTCTTCCCAACACAGGTTCCGACTTCCTCGCCCTGGGTCCCCCCCACCCCCCGGCCCCCAGTCCCTGGGACGGCAGCGTCCTCCCCAAGGGCCGTGAGAGGGGAGCAACCCCTCAGCCCCGGCCCGGCGGCTGGCTGCACAGTGGGTCCCGGCTTCGGGGGGTCAGGCCTCGGCGGGGCCTAGGCCCACAGGCTAAAGCTGGCGCTGGCGACCGCTGGTCCGGCCGGGAAGGCTGGAGGGCGCTGCCATCCCGGGGTTGGGGGACCGGAGGGGGGGTGAGAGGTTAGGTGAGGTTGTGGAACGTGAGGTGACTCGGGGGAGGATGATGTGGGGTGGTCCCCGGGCTCCGCCTCTCGCCGCCGCCGCCGTCTGCGTCCCGGCTGCCGCGCACTTGGCGCAAACTTACCGCGAGCGCCCGCAAAGCCACCCGCGCAGGCGCCCCGGGATCGCCGCTCGCCGCGCGCAACCGCAGTGACAGCCGGCGGCCTGGCTCCCGCGCAGCCGCGGTGATGGGGTACCCCCCTGCGCGCAGCCGCGCTGGCATTCGTCTGGAGCGCAGAAGCGCCGCCTTTCTGCCGTGCGCCAGCGTACTGAGATAAAAGGGCGGGACCCGAGGCTTCGCTCAGGCGCCTGGGTAAGCGCGTGCGGGTCATGGCGCAGCCGCAGGAACTTGGGAACGCTTCACCCATTGGTGTTTGTGTGGTCCCTCTTCCCGCGCAGGCGTGTTGGGTTGCCACCCTCCCGTCCCTTAACAACACACCCGCCTCACGCGCAGGCGTATTGTCACCTGGCGGCCTGCACAAGAAAGCGTCTCCTTTCGCCATTTTGGTAGTGGGATTTGGGCTACCGTGCCCTTGGAGTCCGCAGTCACCAAGATGTGATGTTGTGTGGAGCCGGTATGCTGTCGGCGGCAGTAGTACTCATAGGGAAGCTGTGGTGGATTGTTTGGCTCCAGCATCAGGTGTGGCTGGAGCAGGCAGCCATATTGGTAAAGGAAAAAAAAAGGCATTGCGACAAAAAACGACGCTTTTGGTGGCGGTTTGGACGGCTGCTGTTTCCACTTAATTCTCGCTCTCCACACTTAATTTTAGCACGAACATCGCTGCCTTGCGCCGCGATGGAACCAAGGCTGGTTCAAGCTGCCTTTCTACCCTCTCTTAACCACTGTCCCTGAGAACCGCTCTTAAAGAGGAAGTCAAAAGCCCAAACAGTCCGTAATCCTGACAACGCCCAGCTACCTGCCTGCAGTTGACTTCAATCCCCAATTTGCAACGCGCTGTGTTCAAGGGTGAACGGGAACGCATTGCACCCTGGGAGTAAGGATCGCGATGGGTCTGATGAGTTGTGGGAGTTGTAGTTTCATATGTAGATACTGCACTGTTCCGTAGGATACTGGAGAGCGGAGGGGATCCTGTTGAGAAGGGTACTGGGATTTGTAGTTTGAGCTCCTCGTCTCAAATTCTGGGCAGAGAGACTTGCTTCTCTCTTTGGGTGTCCGCTGTTATCCCTTGTTGTCGCTCTCCGATGTGGCTAGATACTGCGGATGAAGCTGTTGAACTGGGATAAATGAACCACACTAGACGTTAATTAATATTGGTGACAGTATGACTGTATCCTGCCTTCTTTTTATTTTTCCTTCCCACCCTCCTCCCTCCCTCCCCCTCTCCCTCCTTTCCTTCCGTCCCTCTCTCTTTCTTTCCAAAGATAGAGTCTCTGCAGCCATAGCTGGCCTAGAACTCGCTATGTATATCAGGTTAAACATGAACTCAAAGAAATACTTCTGCTTCTGCCTCCAGTCCCATTTCTGGGATCAACGTGTGCTACTATTACTACTATGCCTGGCCCTTCTTAAACTTTTCTTCTTCTTCTTTCCTTCTTTTTGGTTTATTGAGACAGACTTTCACTGTGTAACAGCCCCGGCTGTCCTGGAATTCGTTCTGTAGACCAGGTTGGCCTCGAACTCAGAGGTTCGCCTGCCTTTGCCTACCGAGTACTGGGATCAAAGGCATGCGCCACCACCACCCGACACATGAACTTATTTTTTTAAAAAAGTTTTTTTTTGTTTTTTGTTTTTTTTAATGTGCATTCGGGTTTTGCCTGGATCTTTGTCTGTCTGTGTGAGGGTTCCAGATTCCCTGGAACTGGAGTTACAGGCAGTTGTGAGCTGCCCTGTGGGTTCTGGTAATTGAACCCAGGTCCTTTGGAAGAGCAGCCAGTGTTTTTTTTTTAATTTATGTATTTTATTTATGCATTTTAATTGCATGTACTCCTGCAGGTCAGAAGAGGGCATCAGATCTCATTACAGATGATTGTGAGCCACCATGTGGGTGCAGGGAATTGAACTCAGGACCTCTGGAAGAGCAGTCTGTGCTCTTAACCGCTGAGCCATCTCTCCAGTCTCCACTTAAACTCGTTTTTATGTTACTCCATACATCATTCTCAGAGTCGTAAAACACAAAGACTATTTGATTTAAACTCTATTTCCAGATACACAAGAGTGGAGCAGTGATTTGCTTAGGTTTCTTAGTGGGTTTATAGCAAACCTAAGAAGGGAACATTACTTGATTCATATGTCAGAATCTGTCCTCTCCACCATGCTTACTGTCTCTGAGGAACTGCTGCTTCTCCTTTTAGGACAGTCAGGACTATAAATCAAAAAGGGTGTGGATAACTGTGTGAAGTTTTAGGTGTGTGTGTGTGTGAGAGAGAGAGAGAGAGAGAGAGAAGAGAAGAGAGACTTTGTATTTCTCTGGTGCTCCTGTGTTGGTGCCTGGAAATAGTAAGGTCATGGGGAAGTGGAGAATGTCATGTAAATTGGCTGCTCTCTGACTTCTGTGGTCACCACAGCCAACAATAGATTAGTAGCTATAGGGCTGAGATGTGGCTCTCAGAGGAGAGGGCTGGGATAGGTTCCTTGAAGGAAGAGCTCAGGCTTTATGCCTCCTTCATGCCACATGACCTCAGAAGCTAGAGCCTCATATGCCCTCTCTCATTGGCTTCCTTCCTGCTGCCCAGAACACAGCTGTGCTGCTGTGTCAGCCTGAAGGTATTACTGGGCACAGAAGTGAGCTGCTGCCACATGCCCAGTGAGCAAGGCTTTTCTTTGATCAACACATCCGTTGCAGCTGAAAACAGGAGCGGGCAGTGGACTAATGAGGAAAATGAGAGTTGGCTCTGCTGACAGGTGCCAGAGGAACAAATCACTCCACACACCTTTCTTCTGAAGCCTGAAGGATGAGGTCAGTCCAGTAAGGGCAGGACTTGGGGCCACCTTGGAGAGTTCCAGCTCTGGGTGTTCAAGGGGACTCCAGGAAAGAGAGCAGGTGGGCTGCAGAAGCCTGTGGAAGCGACCTCTTGTGGTCCATGTAGGTATTGCACTATGAATGACCGAACCCCCTGACTTGGGCACAGAAGCCTGGAGGAATTTCTGGTCTACATCTTCCAGTTAAAGACTGTAGAAGCAGGCCAGATGGTGGTGGCGCACGCCCTTAATCCCAGCACTCGGGAGGCAGAGGCACGCGGATCTCTGTGAGTTCGAGGCCAGCCTGGTCTACAAGAGCTAGTGCCAGGACAGGTTCCAAAACCACAGAGAAACCCTGTCTTATAAAACAAAAACCAAACAAACAAAAAAAAGACTGTAGAAGCAGAGGGTGCTGGTGGGTGCAGGTCTTCCTCTCAGGTGTTTTTGTCTTTTATCTTTCAAGTGCCTCCTGGGAAGAGTCTTTCATCTCCGAAGGCTTTGGGGGCCATAGGGAATGGGCAAATTTAAGTATATCCTGGTCAGCCATCACTTCTTTAAAAAGCATTCATTTGTTTGTTTATGGTTTTTGAAATAGGGCTTCTCTGTATAACAGCCCTGGCTTTGTAAACCAGGTTGGTCTCAAATTCACAGAGCTCTTCCTGATTCTGCCTCCCGAGTGCTGGGATTAAAAGTGTATACCACCATGACCAGTCTTTATTTTTAGTTTTTGGCTTTTTATAGATAAAATTTCTTTGTGTAGCCCTGACTGTCCTATAGACCAGTGTTGAAGGCTGTGTGGGTCCAACACAGATGAAAGGGCATCTCAGGGTCTTTTCTCCTGACTATCTCCTGAAGATCTCTCCGCGTTTATTATCCAAATATCTTATATATCATCACATAAATTGAGCGGGAAAATACATTAGACTCGTATCCTAGGTAACCAGGTGAATGGCCTTTTGTCACATCTGCATTCTACCTGTATGCTAGCTGTCACGTAGGCCTGAATTAGCATCTCTATAAGATATCCTCCAAACATCCTGACCATTGTTAGGCAGAGACAGCTTGTCTGCAGAGCTATGTGACCACCTCAGATCGGGCCTATGGCTTTTGTGCCATACAGAAATGTGGACCTACAGACCAGGCTGGCCTTGAATTCAGAGATCTTCCTACCTCTGCCTCCCGAGTGCTCAGATTAAAGGTGTGCACCACCACCCAACTTGTTTTATGTTTTGAGATTATAATATAATTACATTATTTATCCCTTCCTTTTCCTCCCTTCAACTCCCCTCATATACCCCTTCTTGCTCTTTTTCAAATTCATAACATCTTTTAAAACTGTTGTCATATACATACGTGATTACACACACACGTTTCTAAATACGTAAGTACAATGTGCTCAGTCTGTATACTGTCCCTTGGATGCCTGTTTTCAGCAGCCACCTTAAAGAGCCTGTGGGCAGAGCCCTTGCCTGTATCAGGTACCCCCAAGCCACCCTGTCCTTCCTACTCAGAGTCTGGATGTTTTCTGAGGACAAGCCAAGCTGGCTAGCTTATGTACAAGTTCAGTCTACAGTTCTGATTCCAGTCTCTCAAGTTTCACTGGGTAGAAGATGTGGAAGGAAAGATGCTTCAGACTTTGGGCGTTGTCAGCAGTCCAGCAGTATTAAAATGGGGTTGGGACTGGGCCAATCTAGCTGTGGCAAAGAGGAGGAAATGAGGCACCGGGGTAGATGAGCTCCTACATCCCTGCAGCATTAACCACTAGGGCCTCTCACTTCACCAGCCATCTATAACACTAATGTCTTTGGGGCAGTGTTGCCTATTTAAATACATATAGCATTTTTTTCTCATAAAATCTGGGGATGGTCGGGCGGTGGTGGCGCACGCCTTTAATCCCAGCACTAGGGAGGCAGAGGCAGGTGGATCTCTGTGAGTTCGAGGCCAGCCTGGTCTACAAGAGCTAGTTCTGGGACTGGCACCAAAGCCACAGAGAAATCCTGTCTCGAAAAACCAAAAAAAAAAAAAAAAAAAAAAATCTGGGGATGATTGATTGGTGGGTCCAGCAGGTCTTCTCATGCCAAGATCCATATCACAGTCATCTACCACCCTCTCCCCTCCAAGAAAGCACCGTTCACACTCCTTAATTTTTTCCAAAAACACCATTTTAATAAGGAAACAACAGAAATAAAAGATTGTTCTCTGACCGGAGCCCAGACCCCATATAATACATCATATGTACAAAGTGGCCTTCGGTCTGGACTGGGCTTCCTC